TCGCGGGAAAAATGACGGGTTCGCCATTGCGGTAATCTACCCCGGTGGGTGCACGCCGGTACACGTATACAGGGTGTTTGCACGCGACGTACTTGTAAGATGTACATTTCATTTCACGCTTTTTTGCGCGAAGATCGACGTCTTTTCTGCGAAAAATTCGATTGAACGTCATACGTTGCGGTCTCTTAATTTTCCAACGTTAAATGTGCCTTTGTGAAAACAGCGTCCGCTTAAGATTTATCCGTTGACGTCTCTCTGGAAATTTGACTCGCGAAAAGAAACATTTCAATCAGTCCGACCGCGTCTGTAGCTCGAGAATCGTCGAATGGGTTTTTGTTATGAGAAAGGAAGAACCGCACGGAGGATTTGCGAGTGAAACTCGTCGCTTACGTCGCGGAACACCCTGTATAATCTAGCTGCCGTACCTCTACGGTACCTACCTACCTACCACCCGCAACCGACAACAGGCCAGGCCGGGGCAGAGTCTTAGGCCAGGCCAGGCCGAGCAAGAGTCGTGTAAAGAAGGGGTTAAGAAACTCTCGAACTGAAGTGCCTACACCGGAAGCAGGGGCCTTGCTTTCTGGGCTAATAACCGTACCCACATCGACACGCGGGATCTGCGTGCGCGCGTACACGCTTAGAGGAGAGAAAGAAGGAGAGAGGAAAAAAAAGAGCGTGAGAGGGAGACGTGGGGGAGGGGTCGGAAGCGAGGGGGTGGGGGAGAGAGGTGTAATATAGCGCGGCCGGGGCCCCTTTATGCGTGCGCGTATACGTATATATACGCACGGGCAGCCCCGCGGTGTGACGCACACACAGGTGCGCGCTCGGGGGCCCCCTTATCAGCATGCAAAGCTAGATTTTATGTGCGATCGAATGCCGAGCCGACGGGATTCATACGCAAATCGCAATCGAGTTACATGCACGCGAGTCACCCGAGAAAATGCCGCGGCGAAAAGCCGCCGCGCCATCGCGGCTCGATGCTAAAATTCATAACTATGTACTTCGATTACGACGTCCTTATTACGAGTACCTATACCCTTTTGCATTGCGTGCGATATCTATATTATTATGAAAAGTCTCGATTATCCGAACAGCGAATTTCGACAGAAAGTCAGCCCATCCCGAACACTGTGGTATAATTATTGTTTACTTATCATATTTGAGTATATTATGCTCATAATAAATGCACACACAATTTCCTGCGCTATAATTATAGCTGCCAGCTTTACGGCGCGTCAGTTATTTCTTACGCGTTGCCATAATTATAAATATGATTTCTCCACTTTGCGGCGCAGGTAATTTTATGAAATGACGGATCTCACTCCTCCTGAAGTGGATCTTTCTCACCGTTCGCGGTGAGATTGATTATCGCTCTCTAACTGTACAACGGATAGGTCTCGTAAACAGATAAATCTGCAATTAAATGCGAAATTAACCTGAATATGAAGCATGCGCGATTAGGTATCTCGCGGACGAAGTAACGTTACAGGACAACAGCGTAAGTCGTAGATAAGCAACATCCGCTTCTGAAATCCCGCGGAGAAAAACTCGGAGCGTGAGCTAGGTTTCATCTCAGAAATAATAGTTAGTCCATTTCTGCAATCGGGGATATTTGCGGTACCTAATCGGTTTAAGAAAAAATCGATATTCTGACTAATTATCGGTAATTTTGATCACAGAAAGATTGCAACACTTTTTTTTTTAATCGTTTTCGGAACACAGTCTGTTCACCGAGTGATTGGTTCCTATCAATGGTTCTAACCAATTATGTTCAATCGCTCCACGAGCAAAACTGCATTTCAAAACCCATCAAAATAAAAAGTGTTGCAACCTTTCCGTGACCAAATGTACACCCTGATTCTCTACCACCGAAATTCTCCCCCGGCAGTACGGGTATTTAACAACATTTCTACTTAAGTCGCCAAAATACGGTCGCCAAGATAAGAGGAAATTAATCGAAAACGGTAGCGCGTTCGCTGGTCCAGCGACAAACAAACGCGTCGACGGACGTAACGCCGGCTCTTACTGATGCAGGAACAACGAAATTCTTATCGCGCGCGCGCGCGCAAAACGGTACGCTATCCCGTTTTCCGCTTCCTTCGCTCCCACGCGTATGAAGCTCCCAGCACCCGTGCATGGGATTAGAGGTTTCGGCTGACGGCTGTCCTCATCCTTTTTTAATTCCTTCTCGTTTTTCCGTATTCTCGAGGCTCCTCTTTCTCCGTCACCCTAGTCCGTCCGTTCATCATCCCCTTCTCTTGCGCTCTTCCTTCCCGCGAGTCGCTTGACACATTCGCGCGGAAAAAAAATGCTCCCCCGAGCCTGACTGCATCGTGTGTGTATATATATAGAGGAAGGGAGCGGATGTCTGGTGTGTAAGGAACCGCTAAAATGGTGTTCGCTCTTATCCGAAGATCTAGAGCGGCGATGCGAAGAGAGGCACGCGGAGGACTATACGTAAGGTAAAAGGGGGCTCATGACTGGCTGGTCGGTTGGTTGGTTGGTTGGTTGGTTGGTTGCTTGCTTGCTTTCTTGGTTGCTGCTGTGGTCGTCTGGTTGGGCTGGTTAGTGCCGTTACTAGAAAGAGGCCACCTAAGTTCGCAACAAGTGCTGAGTTATGCCTCGAACTTTCTTTATAATGAGACACCGGTCGACGAAATGACAAACGTAATTAAAGCGAGCAGCCACCGGAGGTCAGGGATCTCCCTGAGATTTTCACAATGAGAAACGCGTACCTATACTGGCCCCCCTCCTCCCTCTCTCTCTCTCTCTCTCTCTCTCTCTCTCTCGTCATCGCCCGCTCGTTTACCACCGCAACCTCTTCATTTACGCCGAGATGTTATTGCGTACTTCAGGATGTTTTGTGATCGTTGTAGAAAGTTGACGTTACCGATTTAACGTCGCACAGAGTTTTGAGTCAATATCATGAATTCCATATTATATAAAGTCTTCTCGAAAATTAATCGAGATGCTGGTGCAAATATACATAAATAAAAAGTATAATATAAACAAAAGATATAAAATAAGGGGGGGAGCGTAAGTACGAAAGATTCGGAACTGACTTGAACTTACATGTGGGACTCTTTCCGAACAATCGCGAATGCAACCTTGCCCTGTTTTACGCCTCCCCGTGACACAACAATGGAAACGCAATGGTACAACACATTTCACTTTTTCGCAACGTGTGTACCGGGGGGGCCTAAAAGTATTGCGCGATTTCCTTACCGCGAGAGAATTCACCTCGTACACACAATGTAGATTGGAATTGGCCGTGTACCGTAAAAGCCTAATTAACATCTTTCGAAATCGAGACGCGCGCGCGTGTCTCTCCGTGATTCGGTTTCTATTCATGAAGCAGCGAGGTGGCTTAAAGCGCGTAAACATCGAAACTACAAACAATTGAGACTTTTCTCTGCGTTTTCCTCATCGCTCCGAATCCGATTCAGTCAGGTCTCTATTGTGAAGAAACAGCAATGTGGCCGAGGACAACGTTAACACGGGGGAGGTCTTCTGATAAACTTCAGATTATCGCAGCTCGAGAAAGAGAGAGCGCGTGTATTCCCATTCTTATTTCTTTTTTTTTATTGTCCGATGATCGCGGCGCGCATTCCGCAACGCATCGGCCGACGCGACCGGCAGATAAGATAGGTATACTCGAATATCGGAAGTCGTGTCTCGCTATCGCTCGCGCGAAGAGAAACGCGCGAAATGCCGAAGCTCTTATTTATCGCGTCCCTGCGTGCGGAACGTCGTCCGCGTCGTCCGCGAATACTTCTTCGCGATTTCCGAGCGCGGATTCTCGGGCCGCACTCGATGCGAGGGTGAAAGAGAGGTGAGAGAGAAGCCGCGTTTTACATTCCAGACGCGCGATCCTTAGTTGCAGAGAGAAAGAGAGAGAAAAGAGGATCCGAAACGACACTCCTCCACGTGCAACCACAAACCGGCACCCACGCCGCGGCTTATTCACGCGCCGCGGGGGCTCGCATATAAAACTGCTCCCGAGTTCGGCGGGGTCAGGGATCACGTTAGCCGCGCGATAAGGATCTCGCGTGAATGATTGCCGATGATATTTCACTTAGGGATCGTCAGGGACCAACCGTCCCGCCATCACAGGCGGGCATCGTCCCGGGAGAATACACCGCGAATTCCCGCACTTTCGGCGGACTGTCCCTCTTTTTACGAATTAAAATTGCATCTATTACTTCATAATGTTCCTGATACAGCATCGTTCCGCAGATTGTTTCGCATGTGTTCTGAGGTTCATCGATGATATTAGCAAATCTGAAAAATAAAATTAAAATAAAGATATGTGAGTACACCGTGATTGTGCAAACTGCTAAAAGAAGATCAAGACTTTCAAGAGTATGTAATGATCAATAAAAAAATTTAATTTCTTGTATTTTTTCTTAATAAATATTGCATACAAATATTTAAATATTTGGTTATCCGATGCATGAGCCGATTGTTTCTTTCAGCATAATATTAGTAATAATAATAGTTAACAACAATATTTATTAACGATCAATATAATTCCTTTTAGTTATAACCCTTCGTTCTTTTCTGTAAATCGAATACAGTATGAACCTTGAACCAGTTGAACTCGAATCTCAAAGGAAGAAAAAACCCTTCGAGTTATAAAGTTTTCGACTTATCGAAATTCGAATAAGAAAATTCGACTTACGGAGGCTTTGTACGAGAATTTATAATTTTCCGATTATATAAGTATAACGGCTTTTAGAGGAAAAAAATCAATATTTGACAGTGAATTATATTTATTGCAAACATATAATAAATGTAACCATAATTCAAAATACCAGGCTATTACTTTATGATTACACATAACTTATACAACTTCGAATTATATAGGTATATAGAAGCAGCGACAACAGAAGTTCGATTTATAGAGATGAGCTTCGACTTGTAGAGGTCTGGCTACTTTGAATTCAAGTTGCAGAGATAAAATAATACATCTAAATATCTAACAAATAATTCGAGTAAGGTAGGTTTTATTTCGATTTATAGATGTTTTTCGCAATAAAGCGGAAAGTAATGAACAAAATTTTCATCTTAGAGATTTTCGAGTTGTAAAGGTTCGAGTTATCGAGGTTCGTCTGTATTTTCGATGAAACATATTTGAAACTGAACGTGCAATAAGTCAGTTTGCATTACGCAAATCGTTTAACGAAACTGCATGCACTGCAGCGTATACACTCTGTATCGCCATCCCGAGCCAGTTTCTCAAACCGAGGTTACTCCATGGCAGTCCAGGCGCCTACGCACGTCTCGGTGGCGCCACCTGTCGCAAATTAACCAAGTTAATTCATGATTCGTGAACGTATTTGAAGCGCCATTACAAATTCGACGCGCGGTCGCGCGTTTCGACGATCCGAATGCTACACAGCAAATAAAATCGAGTCTCCGATTTTATTTGCGAGTTGAGGTATGTTACTTCATGCGATCATTCAAAAGCGACGGTTACCCATCGATCGATCGCCACCATTTAATTAACTAAACGCGACGCAATCCGATAAAACGATACGCGCGAGGCTGCAGTTAAACCGCGTCGTTGTCGATGACGCCGTCGATCGCCGCCGTCGTACATTTCCCGTTCATGTTACATCGGAGGTGACGCAAGTATGCTCGCAAGTAATCACGAAAATATACACCGTCGAGACGTCGATTTCAAACACCTCGATAATCTCGTTTTCGAAATGGGTACAAAGCGCGAGCGCGATGGAACGTGATCGTTCGACTGACTGACGGATGGATGGATGGATGGATGGATGGACGGATGTGCGCGTCACCAAAGGACACAGCGATATCTCGATTGTCACAATTGTCGTGCGGCTGCGTTCAAACATACTCTCTCCTACAGAACCGCAAATGCGAAAATACAACCGTGTCTTTCTCTTTCTTTAAGCAGAGCGCGGAAATTACATCACACGGAAAAAAATTACTGTTGCCACAACATAATAATTGTGATAATTTTCGCCCATCAATTTAAAAGAGTTGTAGGAACTAAAATACTTTGGAAGTGACTTACAAGGGAACCTCGCGAAGTGTCAAATTCTGATTTTAATGAAACTTGGTACACTTTGAGGTCACATAAATAGATGAATTTAGAAATTATCAGTTGGTGCTAAAAAACGGTTTAAAGGAATGAATTCACCCTTTATATGTAAATTAATTCTTTTTTTCTTTCGTTATATCTCGAAAACTATTAGATCGGAAGAGCACACG